TGCTGAACTTCACTAATGATTCAGGGAAATGCAAATCAGAACTACAGTGAGATCAGCTCACACCTATTAGAATACCTACCATCAAAAGGACAGGAGATAACAAGTATTGACAAAAATGTAGAAAAAAAGGGAACTTTGTGCATTATTGATGGGAACATAAATTGGTGCAGTCACTATGGAAAACAGTATGGAGATTCCTCAAAAAAATTAAAAATAAGATTACCATATGGTCCAGCAATCCCACTTCTGGGTATATAGCTGAAGAAAACTAAAATAGTCTTTGAAGAGATGTCTGCACTCCTGTGTTTATCACACCATTAATAACCTAACAGTAGTTGAGACTGGAAACAACCTAAGTCTCCATTAATGGTTGAATGGTTAAAGACGCTTTGGTACCTATATACACTGGAATATTTTTCAGCCTTAAAAAGAGAGAAATGCTGCCATTTGCAACAATACCAGTGGACTTGGAGGGTGTTATACTAGGTAAAATAAGTCAGAGAAAAACAAATACCATATAATTTTCCTTATATTTGGGATCTAAAAAATCTGAAATAATTGAAACAGAATATACTGGTGATTACTAGAGTTGGGGAGTTGGGGGGAAGGTGGTCAAATGGTACAAAGTTCTATTTATAATATAAATAAGTTCTGGAGAGGCAATATACAATATGATGACTAGTTAACGATACTATATCATGTATTTGAAAGTTGCTAAGAGGATAGCTCTTGAAAATTCTCATCACAAGAAAAAATTGTAACTATGTAAATGGATGTTAACTAAACTTATCGTGGCAAACATTTCACAATAGATACATGTAGGAAATCATTATATTGTACCCCCTAAACTGATAAAATATTACATGCATTCATATCTACATAAACTGGTAAAATAGCCTTTTTACATTTTCCAAAAGTATATATTTCTGGGTTTGATTTGCTGGCATTTTGTTATGGACTTTTCTTTTTAAATAAAGACTTTGATTTCTAGTTTTATTGTTATGCAATATCTTTTCTGGTTTGTTATCAGGGTAAGACTAGTTGCATAAAATGAAATAAGACGTTTTCCTTTCTCTTCTATTTTGTGAAGGATTGTGTAGGCTTCATATTATTTATTTCTTAAATATTTGATAGAATTTATCAATGAGCCCATAGGACATAGGATATTATTTGAGAGGTTATAAATACAAATTCCAATTGTTTATAGTTATAGTGTTATTCAGATTCTATATTTCCTCTTGGATTAGTTTTGGTAATTTGTATCTTTCAAGGAATTTGTACATTTTATCTAGATTATCAAGTTTATTGTATAAAATAGTTCATACTATTATCTTATTACTTTAGTTTCTATAGTATATGTTGCATTGTCCCTTTTTTTATTTTTGATATCCTTAATTTGTATCTTCTTTCTTTTTCTTGATCATTCCAGCAAAAGACTTATCAATTTTATTTATCTTTTCAAGGAACTAACTTTTGGTCATAGATTTTTAGAAATATTGCTTGTTGGCTTTCTATGTCATTGATTTTTCTGTTCTATATAATTTCCTTTAATTAGTTTGAGTTTAGTTAATTTTCCCGTTGCCTAAGTTTTAAGTTTCAGCTGTAAGCTTTGATTTTATACTTCCTGTTTTAATTATAAACATTTAAAGTATAAATTGAAGTATAAATTTAAAGTACAAATGAAACACTGAGCTTCACTTCATAAGTTCTGATATGTTTTCAGCATCATTTTGTCCAAAATACTTTTAAAAAATTTATTTATCTATTTAAGAGAGAGAAAGAGAGAAGAAGAAGAGTGAGTGCACAAGCCAGAGGGAGAGGGAGAGGGAGAGCAGGTTTCCCACTGAGCAGGGAGCCTGATGTGGGGCTTGATGCAGGACTCTGGGATTATGACCTGAGCCAAAGGCAGATGCTTAATCAGCTCTGCCACTCAGGAGCCCCTGTCCAAAATATTTTCTAATAACCCTTGTGATTTCTTGTTGATTATGATTTATTTTTTTAAAGATTTTATTTATTTTAGAGAGAGGGAAAGAGAATCTCAAGCAGACTCAGTGCTGAGTGCGGAGCTAGATGCAGGGCTTAATAACACAACCCTGAGATCATGACCTGAGCCAAAATCAAGACTGAAGCTTAACCAGCTGAAACACCTAGGTGCCCTGTAGTTTAAGTATGCCATTTAATTTCCCAATAGTTTGCATGGTTTAAATTCTTATAAACTTACTGGGAGTTGTATGGGCCTGCACATAGTCTATCTTCATGAAAATCCATTGTGTCTTTGAAAAAGAACATATTTTCTTGTGTTCTTTGGTGTAGTTTTCTATAAATGTTGGTGAGGACTGAAATGATTGAAATCCAGATCTTTTGTTTTTCCTACTTTGAAAGCATGACTCTTTAAGGGTCTCTACTGATTGTTCTCTACCTTTAGCAAGGTCTCTCCAGCAGATGAACTCATGAGGAGTGATTTCCAGCCATGGGTAAACTATGAGAATTCCTTGTTTACAGCTTCCCACCGATTGTATTTTCTCCAGATGTTCTTTACTTATCTTCATGATGTTTCACATTACACATGCACAGGTTAATACTTGGCCCAAAACTAAAGAGAGCCTTATGTGAATTTCTGAAGGCATTGTTTTATATGTAGTTCCGATATTTTTGTTCACAAAATTCTAACCAATCTGGCTTCTCTGAACTCTCACCTTTGTAACCTTAATTATGGAGATTATTGGGCTGATATTTTGGATCTCAACACTACTTCACAGTCTGGTACTTTCCTCCAAGTAGAAATAGAGATAGTAAGGATTAGTTATTTTGTTTCAGTTCTCACATGCATTATAGTTCTGTGCTGCCCATTATTCAATGTCTGAACATAGTTGTTTCATATTTTTTGCTCAGTTTTCTAGTTATTTATAACATGATGATAATTATGGGCCTTATTTCCCTCATATGGCCTGAGCTGAAGTATCTGCTTGCTCTTTCTTTTCATTCTTTCTTTCCTTTCTTTCTCTCTTTCTGTCTTCCCTCCCTCCCTCCCTTTTTTCCTTCCATTCATTCTTCCTCCTTTCCTTCCTTTCCTCCCTTCTCCCCTTCCTTTTTCTTTTTCCTTCACTTCCTTTCCTTTAAAAATTATTAATCCATCCTTTTAGTGCTATTTTACACAAAGGAACAATTGTCAATTAATGCATTAGATGACATATGTTTCCTCTGCTATTGTACTGTTTGTTTTCCTAAAGGGCTGACTGCAAGCTATGTGTACATGTTCATGTTGGTTGACAGGCTTCACTTTAAAGAATTAGGTAGGTTAGGTCTTTTGATGTCTGTGCTTGGAGTCTCCCTAGAACCTCTACTGATAAGATCACATCCCATCTTTTTTTTTTATAGCCTTCCCCTAGGGATATTCTGGGCCACAGTTTTCTCTGGTCTCATTATCCTTTAAAATTGTTATCACTGGTTTGCTCATAGTTTTCTATCTTGTTCTCAGCCTTCCTGAATTATTCCCTTTAATACCTCCACACCATCATTTCCGTGGCATTTGGGGAGAGAGTGGGAGGCAAATATACATGCTCATTATATCATTCTTAGTTAGATGCCTTTTTTTTTGAAAATTTTATGACAAACATGTTATTTAAAAAAAAGGTAAATTAAGTTTTTACTGATTAAAGTACATCCACTCTGTTCCTATGGCTTAATGTCTGTTGAAGGAATAAGTAACCATCTTGATATAAATCACTTGGAAGTAAATGGAAGCCTAAAAATGATTCAGATTAGGGACGCCTGGGTGGCTCAGTTGGCTAAGCAGCTGCCTTCGGCTCAGGTCATGATCCCAGTGTCCTGGGATCGAGTCCCACATCGGGCTCCTTGCTCACCAGGGAGCCTGCTTCTCCCTCTGCCTCTGCCTGCCATTCTGTCTGCCTGTGCTTGCTCTCTCTCCCTCTCTCTCTCTCTGACAAATAAATAAATAAAATCTTTAAAAAAAAATGATTCAGATTATTTCACACCATCTGGTTATTGGTTTTTATTTATTTCATTTTGACTTTGCATGGGGTGCTATAAAAATACAGATGATTCCCAACTTAAGATGGTTTGACAATAATGTGAAAGTGATATGCATTCAGTAAAAATTGTACTTTGAATTTTGATCTTTTCCCAGGCTAGTGATATATGCAGTATGATACCTACTCATGATACTGGGTAGAAGCAGTGAAGCACAGCTCCAAGACAGCTACACGGTGTTGGGGATAAACTGTCAATACACTTATAAGCATTCTGTTTTTTTTACTTTCAGTACAGTAGTCAATCTATTTTACCCATCCCCCCACCATACCTTTGGCAACCAGCAATTCTCTGTATTTAAGAGTCTGGTTTTTTTATTTGTTTCTCTTTGTTTTGTTTCTTTAATTCCACAGGATTGAAATCATATGGTATTTGTCTTTCACCCTTTTTTGTGAAATGGACTTTGTACTTATTTTTCCCAACTATACGTAAGTGTTCTGAGTATGTTTAAGGTGGGATAGGCTAAACTATAATGTTAGGTAAGTTAGGTGTTTTGAATGCTTGTGATTTATACTATTTTCAGCTATAGGTTTATTGGTACATAACCCCATTGTAAGTTGAGGAAGGTCTGCAGTCATTAACTTAAAAAAAGATGGCTGGGCTCTACAGATAAAAGTAGTACCACAGAGGGGCGCCTGGGTGGCTCAGGGGGTTGAGTCTGTGCCTTTGGCTCAGGTCCTGATCTCAGGGTCTCGGGATTGAGCCCCTCAGTGGGCTTTCTGCTTGGTGGGGAGCCTGCTTCCCATCTCTCTCTGTCTGCCTCTCTGCCTGCTGGTCATCTCTTTCTCTCTCTGTCAAATAAATAAATAAAATCTATTTTTAAAAAAAGTCGTACCACAGATTTAGAATTGTACTTTTGCTTTATGACTGAATTTGACTATACATATATGTGGTAGACAAACTAAAGTTTATTGTTATATTTGTGGCTGGATTGCCTTTTTTTCTGATAGGTACAAGAGTAAGCCTCAGGATGACTTTGAAGATCCCAGAGATGTTCAAGCCATCAAGGAGGCTCAGTTGTATATGGGAGACTTCAATCTGAAGACAGCCGCAGACTATAAGATACCCGAGCACATGAGAATAAATGCTGCCAAGAAGGAAGAGGAACTGGGACACCTAGACACCCTGGTACTTACCCGCAGCTTTCGTGACAATGAGAGGCACCCTGAGGTTTTAGTGGAATTCTTCTGAAAGCACCCATTTCACTAGATGGTCTATAAGGATATATAGGCATAAAAAATTAAAATGGAAAAGATCTTCATAATTATTTAGAATGCCTCCTTTTTACAAACGAGGAAACTGAGGCCCGAAGAGGACAAGAGATTTGTTTGTGATTATTAGCTAATATGGCAGAAACAGCCTTCAAGTTAATTACTTGGCTCAGTACATTTCACAGTGAAAGTACTATATTTTGGAGACTTTGAATTTCTGATATCCAAACATGTCTTTGTTGGATATAGATTTTGGTTGCTGTGGATTGCCAAAGACTTAGGTAAAAGGCTGGCCATTGTTTAGCCTTTTTCTTTTTTTAGGACTTACAAAGTTTGTAGGTGTCTCAATAATAACCAATTAACATATTCCTTTTTAAAAATTTTATCTGCATCCTGAAATTTTGGATGACTGGCAAATTGTAGTTAAAAAATTTTCTCTATAATGATGGATGGACTATGATAAATGAAACAAAAATTACCTTAGATGAACAGCTACAAAAATTCCATAATCCTAACTAGAGATGATGGACAGGTATGATGTCTTGAACTATATTACACTGAAATCCATCTTATTAAAATAACAGCATAAAATAATGTAGAGCACACTATTCTACAAGTCAGATTAGAATTCTGTTCCCATCTCTGCCACTTAATAGCCATGTAAACTTTGCTGGTCATGTAAATCTCCCTAAGCCTTGGTTACATTATCTGTAAAAGGTGTATTAATACCAATTAACAACAAGACCTATTTAGTCTATCTCATAATGTTAATGTGAAGGTCACAGTCAATAAATGGTCATTATGTCATTGGCTAAATTAAAAAACACTAAAATATCAAGTTTTTTTTGGAAATAGCATATTATATATTCCCCTTCCCTATGGCCAGCGTTTAGGTATGTGTGGTATTTGGAAAACTAAAAAGAAAGTGTCGGCGTGTCAAGAGGGTTCTTCAAAGGGTGAGCCTTATAGTCATCAGGTTGCCTTAGATTTGTTTTTAAGCTTAATTCTCAGTCCTCTACGTGCTTCAAAGAGGTCCCCCATTCACACAGGTGCTGGATTTTGAGTTTACATCTTTTTAAAAAAATTTTTATTTATTTTAAAATTTCTTTCCAGTGTTCCAGAATTCATTGTTTATGCACCACACCCAATGCTCCATGCAATATGTGCCCTCCATAATACCCACCACCAGGCTCACCCAACTCCCACCCCCCCCGCCCCTCTAAAACCCTCAGTTTGTTTCTCAGAGTCCACAGTTTCTCATGGTTCATCTCCCCCTCCAATTTTCCCCAAATCCCTTCTCTTCTCCATCTCCCCATGTCCTCCGTGTTATTCCTTATGCTCCAAAAATAAGTGAAACCATATGATAATTGACTCTCTCTGCTTGACTTATTTCACTCAGCATAATCTCTTCCAGTTCCATCCATGTTGATACAGAAGTTGGGTCTTCATCCTTTCTGATGGAGGCATAATACTCCATAGTACATAATACTCCATAAGGAAGACCGCATCTTCCTTATCCAATTGTTTGTTGAAGGGCATTTTGGTTCTTTCCAGTTTGGCGACCGTGGCCATTGCTGCTATGAACATCGGGGTACAGATGGCCCTTCTTTTCACTATATCTGTATCTTTGGGGTAAATACCCAGGAGTGCAAGTGCAGGGTCACAGGGAAGCTCTATTTTTAATTTCTTAAGGAATCTCCACCCTGTTCTCCAAAGTGGCTGCACCAACTTGCATTCCCACCAACAGTGTAAGAGGGTTCCCCTTTCTCCACATCTTCTCTAACACACGTTGTTTACTGTCTTGTTAATTTTGGCCATTCTAACTGGTGTAAGGTGGTATCTCAATGTGGTTTTGATTTGAATCTCTCTGATGGCTAGTGATGATGAACATTTTTTCATGTGTCTATTAGCCATTTGTATGTCTTCATTGGAGAAGTGTCCGTTCATGTCTTCTGCCTGTTTTTTGACGTGATTATCTGTTTTCAGTTTACATCTTAATGCTTTAAATGTTTATTCTTAAGTGTGTAAAACATCTCTATTTTGTTACAGTGTTCTTGCTTCATAGGTAGTAATCATACAGGTAAGTTTTGTAAGACTGCCTGGAAAAGTGCATTTTTTTGAAGTATAATATTCAGTTGTTATATTAATTTCAGGTATATAGTATAATGACCCCAAAAATCTGTACATTACTCTGTGGTCAACACAGTGAGTGTTGTTATCCATTACTAAACAACATTACTACTATCTTACTGACTATATTCCCAATGCTGTACTTTTCATCTCTGTGACTTGTTTTCCAACTAGAGTTCTGTACTTCTCAATCCCAATCTATTTCACCCTTTCTCCAACCCTATCTCTGGCAACCAGCAGTTCTCTGTATTTAAGAGTCTGGTTTTTAAATTGTTTCTCTTTGTTTTGTTTCTTAAATTCCACAGGACTGAAATCATATGGTATTTGTCTTTCTCTGAGTTATTTCATTCAGCATAATATACTCTAGGACCATCCATGTTGTCACAAATGGCAGATCTTACCTTTTTTAAAAATTAACATATATTACTTGCTTCTGGGGTACAGGTCTGTGAATCATCAGTCTTACACAATTCACATCACTCACCATAGCACATGCCCTTCACAATGTCCATAATCCAGCCACCCTATCCCTCCCTCCCCACCTCCCAGAAACCCTCAGTTTGTTTCCTGAGATTAAGAGTCTCTTACAGTTGTCTCTGTCCCTGGTCCCATCTGTTTCATTCTTTCACTCCCTACCCTCCAAAACCTCCCGCCCTGCCTCTCAAATTCCTCATATCAGAGAGATCATATGATAATTGCCTTTCTCTGATTGACTTATTTCAATTAGCACAACACCCTCTAGTTCCATCCACATCATTGCAAATGGCAAAAGGTTGTTCTTTTAGATGGCTGCATAATATTCTACTGTATATGTATACCATCTCTTCTTTATCCATTCATCTGTTGATGGACATCTAGGTTCTTTCCACAGTTTGGCTATTGTGGACATTGCTGCTATAAACATTCGGGTGCATGTGCCCCTTTGGATCACTACATTTGTATCTTTAGGGTAAACACCAAATAGTGCGATTGGGTCATTACGGTACCTCTGTTTTCAACTTTTTGAGAAACCTTCATGCTGTTTTCCAAAGTGGCTGCACCAGCTTGCATTCCTACCACCAGTGCAGGAGGGTTCCCCTTTCTCTGCATCCTTGCCAACACCTGTCATTTCCTGACTAGTTAATTTTAGCCATTCTGACTGGAGTGAGATGGTATCTCATTGTGGCTTTAATTTGTAATTCCCTGATGTCCAGTGATGTTGAACACATTTGCATGTGTCTGTTGGCTTTTTGGATATCCTCTTTGCAGAAATGTCTGTTCACGTCTTCTGCCCATTTCTTGATTGGGTATTTTGTTCTTCGGGTGTTGAGTTTGCTAAGTTCTTGTAGATTTTGGATACTAGCTCTTTATCTGATATGTCATTTGCAAATATATTTTCCCATTCTGTCAGTTGTCTTTTGGTTTTGTTGACTGTGTGCTTTGCTGTGCAAAAGCTTTTGATCTTGATGAAGTCCCAATAGTTCATTTTGCCCTTGCTTCCCTTGCCTTTGATGATGTTTCTAGGAAGACGTTGTTGCAGCTGAGGTCGAAGAGGTGGCTGCCTGTGTTCTCCTCAAGGATTTGATGGATTCCTATCTCACATTGAGGGCTTTCATCCATTTGGAGTCTATTTTTGTGTGTGGTGTAAGGAAATGGTCCAGTTTTATTCTTCTGCATGTGACTGTCCAATTATCCCAACACCATTTGTTGAAGACACTATCTGTTTTCCATTGGACATTCTTTCCTGCTTTGTTGAAGATTAGTTAGCCATAAGAGTTGAGGTTCCATTTCTGGGCTCTCTATTCTGTTACATTGGTCTATGTGTCTGTTTTTGTGCCAGTACCATACTTTCTTGATGATGACAGCTTTGTAATAGAGCTTGAACTCTGGAATTGTGATGCTGCCAACTTTGGTTTTCTTTTCCGACATTCCTCTGGCTATACGGGGTCTTTTCTGGTTCCATATAAATTTTAGGATTATTTGCTCCATTTCTTTGAAAAATGTTGATGGTATTTTGATAGAGATTGCATTAAAAGTGTAGATTGCTCTAGGTAGCATAGTCATTTTCACAATATTTGTTCTTCCAGTCCATGAGCATGGAACGTTTTTCCATTTCTTTATGTCTCCCTCCGTTTCTTTCATGAGCATTTTATAGTTTTCTGAGTACAGATTCTTTGCCTCTTTGGTTAGGTTTATTCCTAGGTATCCTATGGTTCTGGGTGCATTTGTAAATGGGATCAACTCCTTAATTTCTCTTTCTTCTGTCTTGCTGTTGGTGTATAGAAAAGCAACTGATTTCTGTACATTGATTTTATATCCTGACACTTTACTGAATTCCTGTATGAGTTCTAGCAGTTGTGTAGTGGAGTCTTCTGGGTTTTCCACATAACATATCATATCATTTTCAAAGAGTGAGAGTTTGACTTCTTCCTTGCTGATTCAGATGCCTTTCATTTCTTTTTGTTGTCTGATTGCTGAGGCTAGGACTTCTAGTACTATTTTGAATAGCAGTGGAGATAGTGGACAGCCCTGTCATATTCCCGACCTTAGGGGAAAAGCTCTCAGATTTTCCCCACTGAGGATGATATTCACTGTGGGTTTTTCAAAGATGGCTTTGATGATATTGACGTTTGTACCTCCTATCCATACACTGTGAAGAGTTTTGATCAAGAAAGGATGCAGTACTTTGTCAAATGCTTTTTCAGCATCTATCGAGAGTATCATATAGTTCTTGTTCTTTCTATTATTAATGTATTGTATCACATTGATTGGTTTGTGGATGTTGAACCAAACTTGCAGCCCAAGAAT